ACAATTAATTGTTGCAAAGCTTTTATTTCTGGCTTTTCCATCATCTGGGATGTATTTCAATCTGTGATTCATGTCCTCTGTAAATGGTTTCAACAATGATAAACTCTTTGTTTATTTAATGTAAATTTAATCTTGTTTAGAACGAAGCAATAATGAATTACTTAATTTTAAATTATATAATTCTTAAGTTATTCCTTTCAATTAAAAAAAACTTGACCCGCTTAAAAAAACACAAAACTTGCATTTGCAACTTTTCTGCTAAAAATTGGCCCATTGTTTAAATGAACTTTTTTGTAGCTCCCTAGGTCTGCTATCCCTTGTATAAAATTTTCCTCTACTCATGGAAACCTGAGATGTCACCGTAACTTTTTCTAGAAAATCGGCATACAGAAAGCCGAAATAACCAAATCCTGCAAAATGGTTTGTGTGCGAACAGACTAGCTCAAAATCAAAAAGCCGTACGCAACTGATATTCCGTATTTAATTTGTATATATACCTGAGATGTTACACTAACTTTTTCGTCGAAATCGGCTAACCGGAAGTCTCACTCGTCGTTTTTCTCAAAAACGTCCAACATACAAAATAGTTTGATATAATGAATGAAGAAAATTGATTGGTAACTAAAGGAGAAATGAGGATTGGAAAAATTACTATAAATGGCCCTGCAGCTTGGAAATGAGTTCTCTAAGAGAAAGAAAGAATTTTTAGAATAAAAGTTATAGGACATCAAATTTCGCGTCCACTGAGTGCTAACAGCAGTAATTTAATTAAAGGCAGTTACCCCGCTCGAAATCTGTAGTGAATAGCGATGGTTGAAAATTGGTAATAAAGATATCTATGATTTTAAATATTTCAACAGTAAGGGTGTCTAATCTACTGTGTCACTATTGTTATGAGTATAGTACACACAGTACAACACTCTTTTCCACTTATCAGCAAGTGGATCTATTTTAAGAAATGAGAATAAAAAGAAACCGAATTTTATGAAAAAATAACGAACGATTCGAGAGGTATAATTGACCTACATTTAAACTGTTGGTGCTCATTGCACGCGTAATTTGATGCTCTACAACTTCCATGGGCATTTTCTCTTAGAGAACTCATTTTAAAGCTGTAGAGTCATTTATAGTAATTTGCCTCGGTTTTTGTCGAATTTGGTAAAAATCAGCGTTCGTTGATCTTTGTTATCGACCATAACAATTAACCAAATTATTAAGTTCAAGTACTCGTTCGACGTAAAATTTAACGTTATTAAATTTCTGCTTAAAGAAGTTTTTCGCTTCGATGCAACGTTTAGGAGTTATAAGTGCAAAAACAAAAAAAGAAAAATCTGACCTTTTTTGGCTGTAAAAATTTTTCCCTTGGTGGCCAGCGTTAGAAACTTTGTTTATTAAATGTCAAAATCCTTATACACAGTGGCCCGTAGGTAAAGGGAAATATTCAATAGCTTGATAGTAAAGAGCTACAAAAATAATAAATATATATATATATATTATATATATATATAAACAATTGCTAAATTGTAGCAGAAAAGTAGGAAATTTAAGATTTTTGTTTTATTAAGCTAGTCTCTTTTTTTTTTTTTTAATAGAAACCAATAACTTCAAAATATTTGATTTGAGTAACTAAACATTGTTCCATAGTTAACTAGATAAAATTTACTTTCAACAAAATAAGAGTTTGTGATTGTTAAAAATATTTAAAGAGGACTATTAGGCAGAGAAACACAGCTAAGTTCCGTTTAAAAAAAATCATCAATTATTTGTGATTTTTTTTTTATTTTTTATTCTTCAACTGTACTATAGTTACCCAGCTTTTAGAAAAACTTCCTCGTTTAATAACCTTTCTGTCCATATTAATTAAGTTGATGTTTATTAAGAAAAAAATTTAAAGTTTGTCCGCCCAATAGTCCTCTCTAAGTAGCTTTAATTATGACAAACTCTACTTTTGTTTAAAGTAAAGTATCTAGTTTACTATGGAACAATGTTTAGTTACTCAAATAAAATATTTTTAAGTTATTGCTTCCTATTCAACAAAAACGAGACTCGCTTAATAAAACAAAAATCATAAATTTCCTACTTTTCTGCTTGAAATTGGGCAATTGTTTATATGAACTTTTTATTGTAGATCTTGATGTCTACCATCAACCTTTTAAATAGTTCCCTTTACTTACGGGACAGCCTGTATACAAGTTAAAAAAAAAAAATGTTTCACACATTTTCACAATGAATTTCCTGTTTCGATCATAAAGTTACTGGCCTTGATTCTTGAAATCAGCCGCCATTTTTACAGGTAGCAAAATCCGACTGTCAGTCCATCATTTTTTTATTTTCACTTACATAGATATGTAATATAATGCGATTGTGAAAATTTTCGAATCTGAGTTTTCAAAAACTGTATTTCCGTCCCCTGAGACCAAATAAACAAGTCAAGCAAAATGGTCTGTGGGTATTAGTCTAGGTCAAAAAAGAAGAAATTGCATTTTAATGTACCTCAGATGTTACAGTAAACTTTTCGTAAAAATCGGCTAACCGGAAATGCCACTTCATATTAAAGGTGAATCACATTTTTAGTTTTCTCAAAAACGGCTCTTAACAATTTTGATTAAACTCTGTTTATCACTGTATAATTAAGTGGTCTTTTAATATCATTTAGGCCTGATCCCCATTGATGTCACTTTACAGGGCTTAAATGCACAATGTTCATAAATGCCTTCCTCTAAAGTACCTTTAATATGGTTTATTTAAAAAAATTACCTCTCTTAATTTTTAATATAAATGATATAAATATTCCAAAAAAAGCTTTCAAAATTGACATCAGATAATATCCATTTATTTGCACCGATTCTGGGACTAGAAGGAAGAGCTGGAGCTTAGAGGAAGCCATTGTTCTTCTTTTAAAAGTTGGAGCGCTTCAGTGTGTGATGTAAGAAGTAAAGTATTCAGTAAATATCATAACTATTAAACAATTAAGAAAAAAAATATCACGCGAATTTCGGTAATATTTATCGATACAAAAACTGATAAAAACGACCAAAGTAACATAAACCCTATTTTTTCTATCGACGATATGCAATAAAAACTTCTTAACTCTATCAGTTTATTTGAACCAGAACAATTATATATATAATTGTTGTGGTCTGAGGGATATATTGTAACAATTACATAAGCGTAATATAATAATGTTCAATAATAAGGTGGACTTTAAGTACTACATAGTAAAAAGTTATTGGAATTAAAAGTCTCACTTTTTACATGTATTTGAACTCTTAATTTTTCACATGTATAATTTATCAGACCAGGGTTAGAAGCTTTTCATTGTTTTCAATCGATAAGTCAAAAGTCGTAACACTAATTGTAAGTGGTGAGTTTAGATATTTCAAAAACGGAAAATTAATCAAATTATTGCTCTAATTTAATTTTTTTATTTTATATTTTAATTATTGTTATTGAAATTTGATAATGAATTGAAACTGCATGATAAATACAACTAGTAAATATGAAATAAGTAACTTGGCACCTACAACATTAGGAGAAACGACCCTTCGGCAGCACTCCAAACTTAAATTTTTTATGATGTTAAATCTTTTAATAAATAAATCAAAAATACTTTAAAAAACTGGTTGCAAGGTAAAATTAACTTGGTTCGGTTTGAAAATTATTAAAAACATAAAAAATGAGAATATAAATAAACAGAAGCGTTTTTAAGATTAAAATTACATAAACTGAAATAAATAATAAGACCCTAAGTACTACTTTAACATGGCAGATGCGGTAGTTTAAAAGAGAAACAAACTAATTGTCCCAATGACATATCTCATAAACAAAACATCAAATAGAAATCAGCTGTCTCGCTACCCCCACTCCGTATTCTCGACGGGATAGCCGTATCGCATGACGTCACTACTGACTCAGCTTGTGGAATCCCCGACTACCAGGAATTGGTAAGAGCACCCTACTGAGTCACCTCTCATAGCATCATAGCCGGGAAAGAAACCTTTATCAGTGTTACGTCATAAGTATTTGAACTGAGACATGAGTAATAGCTGACAGATAATAAATTTCTTCACCAAAATTGTTTTACAAATCTCGAAGGGACGTCAAGACTAACCGACAGCAGCAACAGGTGGTCTTCCTAACGCACAAAAGGTATGTCAAGCACGAGTCACGTATCCAGGGAGCATTGGAGGACTCAATAGGTACCATATTGTTTAATTGAGAATCAGGATAACTGCTAATATCAGATAGTACCATAAAAAGGGATAAATCGGCACAGTTCAAATAACACTGAGAGCAATGGATGATAAAAAAAACAACAACCATATCATAAACATAAACTGTCAAACAATCGCGACCATGCACATTTTACACTTCGCACAGATAATAAATAACTTTTATTTAACAACTTAGTGTTAGAATTTCAAATGTAACTAATAAATTTCTAGAGCCAGAAATAGTACCCTAAAGGTCTTGGAAGCAATATCCGGTAGCAAATAAATAACATAATAGTTTAAAAAAAAACATACAATTATTCGATTCTGCAATTTACTATTTAAAACTTTAATTAGCTTCATTATGACATATGTCACTCAGCTAAGAATGTACGTTATACGGCAGTCAAATCTATCAATAATCAAAGGAATAATACAAACACTTATTTTTAAGTTTAAGGTAAAATTTGTTTAAATATTCCAAACAAAATTTTTATTATTCAGACTGTTCCGTTTCACTATGAATGATTTTATACTGTATATAATTTGCAACATTTGGATATCATTCCATCCTAAAGCACGTTAGTTTTATTTTAACAATCATAAAATGATGTAAGTACAACATACAATTTAACTAATATACCGAGGATGGCATGATGCTACTTCACATTGCATTACATTTGTTTACATAAATTGTAAACAAATGGAGATAATAAAAACAGTCCAGATATTTTTAATATATGGAAAAAAAATATCAATGATTACAGGATTTTTATAATAATAATTTACCAGGTGGTTGCCAATGGGAAATTCTCCCCTGGACCCAATTTGTGTTGTCATGAGATTCCATCAAATATGATCAAACAGGTACAATCGATGAAGACATCGGTGCATAAGTTCAACACCGTAGCGTACTAACCACTGAGAGTAGGTTTCATTCATGTTTTCGAAGAATGCCGCTACCCACTAACGTCATTCGGTAGAGGGGGGAGGAGAATGTTCCTGGAATACCCCTCCCTTTCCACACACTACATCATACACTAATAATTGTCTTTTACTTCAGACTATTTATAGCATCTTATTTTTTACTTTCACTTACCTACATATGGAATATATAATAAGGATAAGTTCCTGAATATTTTCAAATCTGAGTTTTGAATGGAAATGCACGTTTTAAGGTCCCCTGAGTCGAAATAACAAAGGCCCACAAAATAGTGTGTGTGTGTGCACGAGCGGGTGCGCGTCTGTATGTATGTGGTAAGCCTAGCTCAAAAACTAAAAGTCGTACGGAAATGAGATTGCGTTTTTAAGGTTTTTATATGATATCACAGCAACATTTTCGTCAAAAATCGACAAACCGGAAGTGGTACTTAATATCAAGGATGTTACACATTTTTATTACGATTTTCTCAAACACGGCCCTAACGATTTTGATTAAACTCAGTATATCAGTGTATTATTAAGTTGTTTTTAATATCAGCTAGGGCTTATCCACTTTACAGGATTTAAATACCCAATTTTCATATACGTCTTCCTCTAAAGTATCTTTAAGTCACGGGCGGATCTACGGGGAGGGGGGGGCTTTCGGGCTGAAGCCCCCCCCCCAAAATGGAAAAATATAACCATGTTTTATCGAACAAAATATTAAAAAAGTAACTCTTAAAGTATTATTGTTCGTGTGATTAATATTAAAAGGGCTTTAGGAATCACTTAAACACCATTTCATACAGGTAGTTTCTTTCTTTGTTTCCAAAGTAATTATCGTAATTTTTATGAAAAAAAAAGCTTTCGGGCTGAAGCCCCCCCCCAAAATTAAATCCTGGATCCGCTAGTGCTTTAAGTTGGTTCATTTTAAAAAAAACTATTGCTGTTGTTGACAGTACCTATAAAAAAATGGCTAAATATAACTTTTGGAAGAATTTGATAATTGAATAAAGGAGAAAAAAAGAAAAAAGCTTATCCAGGTCGAAAATGAATCTCCGAAAATAATAGACAAAAGGTATGCGTTGGAAAGCGGAGAACTTTAGAAAAAATAATATCTAATAAACAAAGTTGCAGAAGTTGACGAACAGTGACGAAAAAATTATAAATAATAATTTCTGAAAAATAACTTTATTAAACGTAAATCACGTGTTTTCAAGGAAATTAAATGGAATTTTCTTACTAAATGTAGTAAACGTTTATTTTATTTTTTTTTTAATTTGAAAAACAAGTATTTAAAATCCACCGAATCAAGGCAATGACATTGTTTAAAATACTATTTCATTGTATTTGTGTGAAAGGAAAATATTTCATGGATATATAACCTTAAATAAATTTACTGTAGTTTAATAACTCGAGATCTGATGTTATATTTAAATAATTAGGTATCTATCGTCCGTTTATTCCGAAAAATCATGTAAACTTTTAGAATATTAAATTAGTGAATAATTCAATAAATTTTACCTTGGTGATACCCCAACACTTACAAGTGGTGTGACAACTTTTGACCTATTTACGACAGGCAATGCAAATATCACAATTCCATATTAGTAAACTTTGTAATCGAATATGGAATAGTTTAATAATTAATAGTGGTACAATCCATAATCAACCGTCGATATAATAAATTGGATTTTTATTACTTTAATGGTATTAACGATTTGTTAACAGTTAGAAAAACATTATTAAATTTAGTATGTATGAATGCTTAACACAACGCTATTATTACCTGGATTTGTTCGAAAAATCACCTAGAAAAAGTCATGGAATATCAAAAGATTTCCGTAGACCACGGGCGGATCTACGGGGGGGAGGGCTTTCGGGCTGAAGCCCCCCCCCCCCCCAAAATGGAAAAATATAACCATGTTTTATCGAATAAAATATTAAGAAAGTATCTCTTAAAGTGTTATTATTCTTGTAATTACATTTAAAAAGGCTTTAGGAATACCTTAAACACCATTTCATACAGGTAGTTAGTTTCTTTCTTTTTTTCCAAAGTAATTATCGTTATTTTTATGAAAAAAAAAACTTTCGGGCTGAAGCCCCCCCCAAAAAATAAATCCTGGATCCGCTAGTGCCGTAGACGTCCTGATTTTACAAGTGTATACATTTATAAAGTTTGATCGAGTCATGCACAATAAGTTGAGTTTCGTACCAAGTTCGTGTGTGCAAAATGAAGTTTTATTTTAAAAATTTGATGTAGTTGAAAATAAATATGTATTCATAGATACTGAGTAAAGTTGAATTCGTTAAAAATACACTGAACATTGAAAACGACAGTTCTTCCAATGTAAGATGCCAGTGCCAACATGTAATCATATCTATACATACTATGTGCGAGGGTATTATAGTTATAGTATTATAATTGAGTAAATACTTATACATAAGTAATCATACCTATACATACCATGTGTGAGGGTATTATAGTTATAGTATTATAATTAAGGAAATACTTATGCCGTGTAGTTTAGATGCCTAACGGTAGACCACCACTGGAAGGAAATGGAGAAAGGACTAAAAGAAACAGCTAAGGAAGTCATAGGTATTTAGGGGAAACGAAAAAGTAAGAAGCGTGCGAAAAGGACGTAGAAGAAAGCAGAAAATAAGTCCTCTGCCTAGCTAAAATAAAGTTCATTTGGACAAGTACACATCCACCAACGCAAAATTATAAAATGATTGCAAACCATTGAGGACAACTAGGGCAAATCTGCCTTATCCTAAAAAAATGCACCATGTATGAGGAGTGTAGTAATTACAGAGGCATAACACTCCTTCCGGTTGCCTACAACATAATGACCAATATCTTACTAAACCGGATATATCCGTATTACGAAAATATAATAGGCGACCATAAAGCTAGATTCAGAAAAGGAAGGAACACGCCAGACCCGATCTTCATACTAAAAAAAGTACTTGAAAAACGATGAGAAATAGCTCAGGGCGCCGACTTCCTAATTGTCGATTTCAAATCAGCCTATGATTCTGTGGACAGGAACTGTCTTAGGAAAATTGTGACTGAGCTGGAAGTTCCCAGTAAGTTAGTGAGATTGACAAAGGCGTGTACAAATGACCAATAATGTCGAGTTCAAATACAAGAAGTATCTGAATCCGAACTAAATTTCGGACGGGCTTATGGCAGGGAATTGGACTATCACCGACCTTGTACATCTTAACCCTGGAGAAGGTGGTAAGAAGAACAAATGGAGGGGTCCACGTCAGAATGAATCATAAAATCGTCGGATGCCCAGATGCTGGATCTGCATAGAAGGGAAATCATTGCCGAGAGTAGAAAAATTCAAATACACACTCCACAATAACCTGAATGAATGACCAACGACTGAAAATAGCAGCGTATAACAAGCTCTAACAGTGCTTTCTTCTCCCGTTCAAAGGCATTAAAATCCCGAAAAATCGTAAAAAAATTAAGGGTGGATAACCAGTTCTAATATACGTCTGTGAAACCTGGACACTAACAGCGCACTAGAAAAAAAGTTTAGATTTTTAAGTGCATTTCATGATCAACCGGATCGGGAATGGAGTAGGTGTTTGAAGAGGAAAGATTTGACATAGAATACTGACTTTGAGTGTCGGGTATCAGAGGGAATAGAATTCCAAAAGAAGACAGCTTGAATTAAAAAGGACTTGTCAAACCCAGGAAGGAATGAAGGCACGAGCTTAAGATGGGCGGGGCATGTAGCCAGCAATCCATCTGGAAGCCCCTCAATGAATGTCTCAAAACAATGAATGTCTCAATAGAAGGAAAACTAACACGTGGAAGGCCAAAAATCAGATATATAGACAGAATCAACAAAGATGCAGTAGAGCTGCATGCAGATAATTGGAAAGAAATATTCCAAAATAAGCAGAGATAGAGCAGGCTTGTTAAGGCGGCTAATAGTCTACAAAGTTTGTAATGCCATAAAATAAAAATAAATAAATCAAAAACACTGTAGATATGAAGGGTTGCCGAGCGACCTCCCTCCCGAACACCGATCGGTCCGCATGTATATCGGTGAACGAACTAGACTAGGGTTTCTTATACCACTAATCAAGTGAGCACAAATTATCTTTTTACACAACAATTTTTTCTAAACGCAACAGGAGGCGAACCATTGAACTTTCAAAATCGTAAAGGTTTTCAAAATTCGCAAAAAGCATGTATACATTTTTTATAACTAATTAACTGCTTTTATAAGTGACAGCTCAAATTTTAAAATTAAACATTAACGCAGACAAAATTTATTACAGCGTTTATAGGAAACATATTTTCTTAAACTTAATTGCAAAAAAGAAATTGATGTTCCGAAAATCGAAAAAATTCTTATGATTTTATTTTTACTTGTTTCACTTATTTTAATGAAATTAGTCACCAATAATTACAGTTTTTCTTGTTACTTTTAATGCAAATTTATTCTGCATCATTCAGGAGGATGAGACAAGGAGTCATTTGAGAAGCAGGAGAGGAGGTCCATCATAAGTTAGTCTGATGAAGATTAAAGACCGAAACAGGTTGCGCAGAGATAAAAAATCAAAGAATTATACAGAAAGACGACGTCTTAATTATTTATTTTTTTGCCTAGCTGGACCATTCGAAATTTCATCAACAACCACAAAACTTGTGATAACTTTAGAACGGCTTAACCGATCCACACTATTTAGGCCTTTGTGTGCTACACGAAATAGTATAGATCCGATCTTTTTATACAAATTAAAACCAAAGATACAAAATAAAACTGGGTTACAAGTTTTTCTTAATTTCTAGCTGAAAAAAATTAAATTCAAAAGTTATTAGTGTCAAATTGAAGATCATTAATTCATCTTTACAACGGTTACATTACAGTTGAATTTGAATAAAATCCTGAGGAGTTATGAATGCTTTAGTTGACGGCCGGGAAAAAACTCTTACAAGAAAATCAAGTACTAAAGGTTATATTTTTTTATTTATACAACAATTTAAGAGTTTTAAAGG